GGAGCCTGGGGGCCTGGGAGCTTGCGAGCCTGGGGGCCTGGGAGTCTGGGGGCCTGGGAGCCTGGGGGCCTGGAAGCCTGGGGGCCTGGGAGTCTGGGGGCCTGGGAGCCTGGGAGCCTGGGGACCTGGGAGCCTGGGGGCCTGGGAGCGTGCGAGCCTGGGGGCCTGGGAGTCTGGGGGCCTGGGAGCCTGGGAGCTTGGGGGCCTGGGAGCCTGGGGGCCTGGGAGCCGGGGGACCTGGGAGCTTGGGGGTGACACAACAATGAAATGGTGGTATCAAAAGATACCGGTTGAGGCAAGTGGATTGAATAATAATCATTCTAGAATCCACTTGGGCCTCATGCCAATAAGTTCCAGTACGGCTGGGTGGTTTGATGTTGACCATAGTTCGCAGGAACTACGCTCGCCTCGTGAAGCAGACATCCAGGAAGGCAGGTTCCAGCTTTAGACAGGTAAAGCCCCTGCCCAGACGCCAGTATGGACTTCTGCAGCAGTGCGGCAGTAGGGTGGACAGACCGGCATCTGACAGTTAGGCAACAGATCCTAGAGCTTAACAGTAAGCTTACAGGATACAACACCTGGAGCCCCAACCCTCCCATCTCACCTCCCTGAGTGAAACCCATTCCCCCTCCTTGTCACCACCCTCCTAAATTAAAACTTCGGCTGCAGCCCCACTATCGGAGGTTGGCTGCACTTGCTGCACATGTATGAGAGCATGAGAATTAAAGCAGGCACTGCAAAGACAGTGCTGACACATACAATCCCAACTCCTCCAACCAGCCCCAGCCACACTTCCTAGCATGTAGTGTTATCATCATGACATGGCTAAAGATTCCTCAACGAAACACACAACCGTGGCACAGATGTGCCCCACCACTACCTGCCTACATCAAACAAATCTGCCGTACTCTGACAGCCATATCGAAGTACGACAGCGTTTTGATGCCCCATGTAAAACAGATAAGAGCCCCGACCCTCGCCCCCATCTTACCTCCATTCCCGGCTGGATGTCGGCCCCATCTTCCGAGGCCTGCTGCACGTGCAGCACATGGATGGGAACATGAGAATTAGGGCAGGCACATCAATTAGGGCAGGCACGTCAATTAGGGCAGGCACGTTAATTAGGGCAGGCACGTCAATGACGGAGTCGAAACATACACACCCCCCTCCCCCAACCAGCCCCAGCCACCCTCGATAGCATCAGGAACAAGAAAGAGGGCAACGGGTAACGAATCCACAAAGAAAAACAACCCTGGCACAGCTGTGCCCCACAACTACCTGCCTGCATCAAACAAATCTGCTGTACTCCGATAGCCATATCGGAGTACGACAGCGTTTTGATGCCCCACGTAAAACACATAAGAGCCCTGACCCTCCTCCCCATCTTACCTCCATTCCCGGCTGGACGTCATCCCCATCTTCCGAGGCCTGCTGCACGTGCAGCACGTGGATGTGAACATGAGAATTAGGGCAGGCACGTCAATTAGGGCAGGCACGTCAATGACGGAGGCGAAACATACACACCCCCCTCCCCCAATCAGCCCCAGCCACCCTCGATAGCATCAGGAACAAGAAAGAGGGCAACGGGTAACGAATCCACAAAGAAAAACAACCCTGGCACAGCTGTGCCCCACAACTACCTGCCTGCATCAAACAAATCTGCTGTATTCCGATAGCCATATCGGAGTACGACAGCGTTTTGATGCCCCACGTAAAACACATAAGAGCCCCGACCCTCGCCCCCATCTTACCTCCATTCCCGGCTGGACGTCGGCCCCATCTTCCGAGGCCTGTTGCACGTGCAGCACATGGATGGGAACATGAGAATTAGGGCAGGCACGTCGATGACGGTGGTGAAACATACACGCCCCCCTCCCCCAACCAGCCCCAGCCACCCTCCATAGCATCAGGAACAAGGAAGAGGGCAACGGGTAACAAATCCACAAGGAAAAACAACCCTGGCACAGATGTGGCCCACCACTACCTGCCTACATAAAAAAACTGCTGTATTCCGATAGCCATATCGGAGTACGACAGCTTTTTAACGCCCCACATAAAACACATAAGAACCCCGCGCCTCCCGCCCATATCACCTCTCCAAGCGAGCCTAATTCCTCCTCACGGTGGCCACCCGCCTCCATTCCCGGCTGGATGTCAGCCAAGAGTAACTAAAGTTAGTTCAGCGCGACAGTGAGTGGCGGTGAGTTATATTTTAACGTTGCTACAAGGTATAGTTAAATATAACACAAATCCCTTATCCCAATTGAAGCTATTCCGAATTCCTTCTCACTTGAAGCGGTTTCCTTCTCACTTGAAGCGGTTCCGATTGCAATACTTGGCGCATATCGTGTTTGACTGAGTTGGGAGTTATGGCTACGTGATTTGGTCTTTCGTAATGAAGATATTTGTTTGATGGAGAGGACATTGAAGCCATAATAGCCAAAGCCGTACATGAGCGGTTATGTCAGCCAATGGCTCGGA